TACCTTCTGGGCCTTAGTTTAAAAAAATGAAAGGTGGAGTCAGGATTTAGTCCTGATCATGTATGTAACGGTACAAAATCAAAAGGTGGTGTTGGGATTTAGTTCTGACCATACATGTAATGATAAACAATCAGTTAAAGATGTATACCTCCGCCCAGTTGCCGTCTGATGTACAGATATCTATGAGAATATAGAAATATCTATGAGATATCAAAAGTGTTATTCTGAACTAAAACCTTTACTAAAAATCTAGTATAAAGGGAAAGTGATTGTGAAGAAAAGACAATTCTGGGTTTAACCAATCATTTTTGGTAGGGATGTTCAGATACCAAGTACAGTGCTCGCCGTACTCGGTACAGGTAGAAGTACAGATACTTTTCCAGCTCCAAGACTAGACTTGAGGAAAATCCAAAAGTTAGGAGGCAGCTGTCATTTGTACACGGTGCTCCTGGGATTTGTGCATCCCTGTTTTAATGTATGTTTTATTTTTTTATAACTATACTGTACTTTTTCAAGTACAAGTACTGATACTTGTCCAAGTCCTCACAAAGTACTGGTACATTTTTGTTTATTGTCATGTGACAGTTTTTCTAAAACAATACAGACTAATGATTTCAGGACAGTGGTGGAGTGCCAGAGCCAGGTCCCAGCTGCAACCACTGCAACCCGGATAGTTCTCATAAAAATGCCAAGTATCGGCACTGGTATCTTGACATCCCTAATTTATGGCATATACATTCTTAATGGTCGCCAAAACTGGAGACGTGGCAGGAAGTTGCCCATTACTTAAAGCAGTACTCTGGGGAAAAGTCACATTAACCCTTAGCAGTAAGGCTACCCCTGCACTGCAAGGGTTAACTGCTCATTTTGGTCCAGGGAGGAAAATAAAGTTATACACAACTGATCTTTGGAGCCGGCTGTGACAACGATCCCTCCAGCCTCTGTCCTTCTGTGCTGCAGCGTCGGAAGTCCTCACATCCTATACACTGCCTATAGAATGTGATGATTTACGGGACCTTAGACCGCTGGGGAGGAGCAGGAGGAGAGAGGCTGCAGGGATCGGTCTAAGAGCAAGAAAGCTCCAAGGATCAGGTAAGTATAACTGTTATTTTCCTCCCTAGACCGAAATGAACACTTAAACCTTGCAGTGCGGAGGTAGCCCCACTGTAAGGGTTAATAATATTTTTTCCTGGAATTCTTTTTAAATACATTGTGCTGGAAGGCGTCCCTCTTTCTTATCTCAGAAGGTTAGGAGGAATGTAGATGTGAATTTTTGTAACAAACTTTTGGTCAAAAATAATCATCCAGCACATGAAACCGATCATTGATAGATGGAACTGACAATTTTAGGCTATGTTCACACCTAGGCGATACCTCACCGCGTGGCAATCGTGCACGTGGTCAGGAGTAGCCAAGGTGTGAACTGATCGCACTGTAGGTGCCATTATTTTCTAATGGCACTCCAGTCGCGCCGGGTGTGTATCGCAAAAAGAAGGTACTTATACTTTTTTTCTGCGATTGCCGTGCGGATGTCACCCCATTGAAATCAATGGGGCAGCACCTCAATTGCTGCCTGCATTGTGCAGGACTGCACGACACCCGTTTTGCGTCCTGGGCGTCGTGCAGTGTAGCGCAGGTGTATGGGTAGCAAGATCTAGCCCCCCCTATAAGAAAAAGGAATTGGGATTGAGAAGATGGACAATGGGAAGTTATGGAATGGAAGTAAGAAACCTTTTTTAGATTCCAAGAGCTAATAAAGCCTCCCGTCTCTGACCTGCCCGCATAAAACTCTGCTTCATCTCAGCTCAGCCTTGGTATTTCCTTCAGGAAATGTCAGATTCTTTACTGCACCACTTCCTGAGCGTCTCCTCCACCTGCGAGATCTGAGCTGGCTCTTTATAGTCTCCTCTATAATCCATGAGCTCACGGAACTTCAGCGAGGGAATTTAACCCAAACCATGAGATTGCATCTTGACCCAAACATCAACTCAAAGCTTCAAAGGAGGGCGATTCCCCAGCCTTGGATACATTATCTGTCAGATATCACCCTCTAAATGATCAGACGGCATCATTAAGGGGTAGAAGTAATGTGCGCACTTTCTCTGTTCGACATTTTTCTCCACCCAAAGTAAACGTCGCTCATTTCCAAAGTCAATACGGCGAGTTAGGAAAGAACTCCACTAGAGGCTACAGTATATAGAATTTAGCAGAGGGTGGAAAGGTGTATGTTTTTACTTGCAGGACTGAGACAAGGAAAACACATTTAGACTGGGGAACTTTGTGCGGTTGATGGTCCGGAGATTTATGGATCCTCGGTGCAGTTTTATGATTCTTAGTCATACTGCGGAACACGAATGATACCAACATTTTGAAATGAACCGGAAATTTACCAGAAATTTAGAGCTCCAGCACGGGTGTTTGCCGCGTCACAAAGATGGTGTTAGTTCCATGGTGGAGCACACTAGTGTAACATAGTGCTGTCCCTATCTAGGACTACGTCTAGA